TTGGTTAGATGCTAAATTTAACAATAAATATTTTATGAAAGGTATAACTAAACCAGATAAATTTGATAAAATGTTGAAGTTTTTTGAAATTACAGGTAACGATGAAGGTTTAATACAATTGAAAAATAAAATTGGTGAAAGACTCTTAGAATATAATTTATTTACATATATAACATTAAATTATTCAGGTAAATTATATAATAAAACGTATAATTAAATAAATAATTATCTAAATAAATATATAGTAATGTCTGAAAATGAGAATTACACTATTAATGATTTAATGAAGAAGATAACATTAATTGGTAAAAATATTAAAACCTTAAATGATATGATTAAATCCATTGATGACAAAATGAAACCAGTTGAACGCAATGAAGATAAAGAAAAAATCGAAAAGATATTTCAAGCAAAATCTATAGGAAGACCATCGGGCGACTACCCGACAAAGCAAAAGAAATACTGTGATATGTTGAATACAGGAAAAATCAAGCAACCAAAGCAACAAACATTAGACTATTATAAAATTTCAAAAAATGATGATGGAGTATATGTATTATTTGAATAATTAATAATCTAAATAATTCTAATAAATGAATTTATTAGAATTATTTAGCGGAACAAAAAGCGTCGGAACCATAGCAAAGTCGCTTGGATTTAATGTAATATCATTAGACTTGAAAAATGCTGATATCAACACTGATATTTTGGAGTGGGATTACAAACAGTTTGACAGAAACCATTTTGATTTTATTTGGAGTAGTCCCCCATGCACTGAATACAGCATAGCAAAAACTAGGGGAATTAGGAATATCGAATATGCAAATAGTATTGTCTTAAAAACTATTGAGATTATCAAATATTTCAATCCTAAATATTTTATAATCGAAAATCCACAAACTGGATTATTAAAACATCAGGAGTTTATGGATGAGTTTGATTTTAAAGATGTTGATTATTGTAAATATGGATTTAATTATAGAAAGAGGACTAGGCTATGGAATAACATTACAACTTGGAAACCTAGAGAATTATGTAAAAAGGATTGTGGCAACATCAGGAATAATAAACATATTGAAACTGCAGAACGGCTTCCATCGGGAACCAAGGAAAATTGGGGAGACAATCCAACAATACATAAGCAGGAAGACCTATACAAAATACCTAGCGAATTAATTTGTGAAATCTTAGTGAGTTTGACGGATTAAAGAAACAAGACACCAGTCCCAAAAATAGGGGATTCGAGTCCCAAATGCGTGGGATTGGGGATTCGAGTCCCAAATTCGTGGGATTCGGGGATTCGGGTCCCAAGTTTGTGGGATTGGAGTCCCAACTTTCGGGGATTCGGGTCCCAAGTTTAGGGGATTGGAGTCCCAACTTTCGGGGATTCGGGTCCCAAGTTTGTGGGATTGGTCCCATCACGCCTACGCCTCAACTCATCATCAATTAAATTATTATCCCAAACTTAAATTATCACCATACTATGATTATAACATTTATACCCTTATATGTTATAATTATAATGTAAAATGACTTAAAGGAATAAATACTTAATATAATAAGAGGAAAATGCCAATGCTAGGAGTGACAGAAAAAGAGCTGGAACAGGATAGAAAGATAATATTGAGTTTCATTAAGGATAATCCCTATCCATCGTATAAACAAGTCATTGAAATAATTAAAAACGATAAAACAATGAAAGATATATATCCAGATATGTTCGCTGAGTATGGAGAACAAAATCATCAATGGATAAAAGAGATTTACGAACACATAATGAAAGAAGAACTCGTTAAACGTAATGGTAATAGTATTAATGAAAGAGGAGGAATGACAACAATGCATTGTAATTATTATACTTTGGTATCAGTGTTGCGTTATTTAATACAACAAAGAGCACCAATGAAAGATTATGACGTTAACTTAATCTGGTATAATATCAGAAACATCTTAAGCAGTTCTTGGAACAACATAGGCGACTGGAAACACTAAAAACAGGTTTAATCATACTATGATTATCACATGTAAAATATTATATGTTATAATTGTAATATATTTATCGTTTGTAAAGATTGAATTATTATATTTTCCTAATTTGCTTATCTCTTTCAAAGTGCGTTGTTTAGACTTGGTATGCTCTTTTGATTTTTTCGTGCTTTGGCTGTTTGTTTTTGTTTTGTTTGATACTCTTATGATATTTGTTGTTGGTATGTTGCTTTGTTTTTTGTTGATGTGTGTTTTTGAGTTTGGGTTCTTTGATGATTTAGAGTGTTGCTGTTTTGTTGGTATGCTTGTTTGAATTATTTAATGTTGCATGCTGTGATTAAATATTTTTGTTGCTGGTTGTGATTATTTATTTTGTTTGCTTGTTGTTCTGGATTTTGTTTTCTGTTTGTTGTGTTGCTGTTGGAAAAAAAATAGTAGAAAGAATAATTCTTTGAATTCTCCTTTTACTATTTTTCCCCCACCCCCCCACATACAGGAGGAGAAGCAATAGCGACGGCCGAAGAGGGTCCACTCCTCGTTGGGCTTCCTCGGTTTGCATAAGGCCAGGCGCACCCTGCGCGCAAAAACCTCATGCGGACAGTACCTTGAGAAGATGCCAAAATAGAATCCGGAGGTGATTGCTGGTGGACGGCGTGAGATCCGTACCAACGCTATGAGGACCACGACCCCTGTTTGGAGAGCCAAATGAATTCACTGATTCTAAGGGTTCGAAAGGTTGATTCCCGGTTCGATTCACCCATCGCACTCTTCAGATACCACCCATTTTCCTAGTTTCTCGAACATTTGAAGAGAAGGATCTCCATGGAAAATCTGTAAAATGTGCTTTCGATTTCTCGTTCTTTTTCACCTCCCCCCTCGAGAGTCCAAGTGAGCATTGTGTTTGGCTATGTTTGTCGCTGTTTGGCTTTCAAACATCCCCAACCACGGACCTCCACGGGCCTTCGGGCAATTCGTGGGGCCCCTTGAGGCCTTATAAATGAAGGGCTTCTGATTGCCGGGCGATACCCCACCGTTGCGTCCCTTGGAGGGCCAAAATAAGGGCACCCTCAAAAAGCGAGGGTGCCCCAATGAAGAAAAGGAGCATGATGCTCAGCTCTTCCTCCCCGTACTCAGCGTACCTGGGCGCTTGCCCTCATCCCAAAAACAAAGCCTGCCCCAGTTCGGTGTGCCTTTTATTGAGGGTACCCTGTAGGTTCTTCAAAAGGCTGGTTAGAATAAGGGTACCCTTTTTAGTGGGGGAACCCAACCAAAAAGGGTAAAAGGGCACTTCTGGGGGACCTGGAAGGGGAAGCAAAGAAGACACACGATTCTACCTTTCCTGCCCAAGGACCCACAACTAAAGAATACCTCTTCGGGACCTGGGCTAAACATGGACTGAAAAAGGACACCCGAGCGGTTTAAAATGTCGGCTGCAAGTGAGTTTTGGGTTCAACCATCCTAGAACAGCCTTGCTCGACTGTTTACTCGTGCCTGCTGGTAGGGAAAATAAAAAACCAGATATGCGACAAGTAAAGCTAAGTTTCCACAATGACAAGTATTCCAAAACCGTAATGCTCCATGCCCGTGCGCTTGCTGTAGTTCACCCCATGCTGGGTGGCAAGAACCCACCGCAAAACGCATTACTTCTTGATAAAACATAAGGTCAAAGATCCAACCAAACGGCAGCCAAGCTTGAATTGCTCGTTCTCAGAGCTTCCTCGGGTTAAGGGAAACCACGCGGGATCCCCCAAAATCCATTTGCTTGAGCCCAAAAACAAGACATGTTGCCAGTGATAGATTCGCTTTAGAACTGTCCTCTTTGGAAGGGGGGCTTTGTGCACCTAGATGTTAGTGGGAGGGTACCAAAAAAGAGTGCGGAGGTGATTTGCTGGAAATCCACTGGGGTTTGAGGGGCCATTTGGCAAAGCATGCCACGAGCGCTATCAATTGAACGAACAGCCGCTGGTAAATTCCAAGGCACATCGGCAAGCCCAGCTCGGCGAGGCTGGGCAGGGTCCGGCGCACCAGACGAAGCCAAGTGCCCTTTCTTTGGATCTGCCTCAAGCCGAGTCGGCTAAGCCTCGCAGCACCTCTCAGAGTCTCAGCCGAGGAGTTGGTGCCCTTCCCACGAACATTCCCACCTTGGGTCACCCTATCACACCAGCCAAAGTTTTCGGGGCTAAACGGCTAAACCCAAGAAAACCATCTGCTTGAGCACCAGCAAAAGTTTCGGGCACCCTGTATCCCACGTTGCCATGGCACCTGTGGGGAGGTACCTGGCAGATCAAATTCTGTCAGGTGCCATGTTAGTGGAAGAGGGGGTAATCCTGAGGTTGGCCCCATCCAGTTTATGAATAGCGGGGTGCTCCAAAAGTGATAAAATTCCCGACCAGGGCACACCCCGCAGGGCACAAAGATTCAAGCAGTGGACGCAGAGGCTGGAGACTTGGCCATGGGTCAAAATCCCGTACCCCCAGCGAACATCCCAATCCCCACTAAAATAGGTTCTAACATGGGTGGTGAATTCACCTACCCCAAAATGGTATCCCAAAACGGTTTTGACCACCACTCTAGGTGGTTGCAAGCAAGCTTTGTTCGCTGGGCCATGTCCAAGCCTCCTCCAGGGGTCCGAGGAGCTTAGACTCCCACTAAGTCCCTCAAGCACCACCTTCAACTGCTCGGCTGTTCGAACCTTCGTATTCGAATTGGATGGCCCAGCTTAACTTTTGAATTGAATGCGTCCCAGACCCTAAAAGATGGGATTGAGCATCATGTAATGGCTTAACTCAAGTCATATGTCCATCTACAGCCCAAAGCGCATGTGACATGGCCAAGGAATCCTCTAAGCAATGGCTCTCGAAATTCCCGAATAGGAGTTGATAGTGAAAGTGAATTGACATAACCTTCCCATTTTGCTTCGTCCCTGTACTTTCCTGGGCATTGCGCAATCCACTTTCACCATGGTGCAATGTGTTCGAACCGTAATCCCTGCCTGTTTTGTGGAAGCCAGATGTTCAAAGCAGATCGAAGCAAGCAGAGCACCCCAAGTTCAAGGACCTCAGAAGCTGGGCATGGCCCCCAATCCACCCGGATGTTCAGGAGTTAAACTGAGAGAAAAGCAAGGTGAGAACTAGCCTTCTTCGCCAATCACGCCTTCATTGCAACATAAATAGGCACCGGTGGGACTCGAACCCACAACCTCCCCCGGCATGCTGGCACGTCCCTTGCGCTGCCACTGCGCTACGCGCCCTTGACACCAAGTGAACGACATAATCTTTTTCCGCGGCCTAGCCAGGGTTTCTGTGGAAGCTGCGACCTGCTGCTGGCTTCCATTCCAACCACTAAACTCGATCACAGTAAAAATCTGTCTTTTTGAGGCCACCCTGGTTTTTGGGGTGCGAAATCCCCCCTTCAAAGATCCGAGGCGCTCTTTGCAGCACTCCCGCAAATTTCCGTCAGACCAGGCCACAAGGCCTACGTCTCGAGAGGTTCAGACGGCGCCGAGGGCACCCAAATGTTGGTTTGCCTCCTGGTCTTCTGTGAAAAACCGGCAAAAAACGGGTGCCCCTCGAAAAAGACACACTGAAATGGGCGTGGTTGTTTGTTGAGGGAACCAAAATATGTGAGGTTTGTTTGGGGGGCTAGACAAAGGGAAAGGAACTGAAGATAGACAGATAGAGAGAGAGAGAGACAAACAAACACATTACAAACAAAAAGCAATTGTGCTTTCCGCTCAATATGGGACGGTATAATAAAACATGTGCGATTGCTGTGGACGCTACAAGAATTCAATTTCCACAGCGCCACAAACCTAAATCCTTAAACCGAATGTATTTCAAGGATCTTGTGTATTCTCAAAAGGGTTGTCAATAGAATGGATTTCAATGTTCCTATTGGCTTCCGTTGAAAACCACAAGCAAGAAGGAGGAGCCCATTACATTTCGAGGGTAGGTCACTTCGGGACCAAATTCATTTCCTTCCTCATGGTTTCTACTCGCCACCATTGGCCCGCTAGCGATAGTGAGTGTATTTGTTGAGTTGAACATCGTGGGGGGTGTTGATTGAGGGCAAGCCAAGAGGAAAACCGAAAACCATTTTGGGGGTCCCAATTTTGGGACAAACCCCAAATACATGCAGAGGGCGGGGGAAGTACAAGTACTTGCTCATTGGTACGTTAGCAACCCGGCTGATTTTTTTCACAGAACCAAGAAGCAAACAAAAACAAACAATAAAAGAACAAAGACAACTAAAGCACAAAAGGGTCCTTTCTGCCTCCAAAAGGGGCCCTTTCCCGGTCCAAGTCTTGAGGGATCCCATCGAACATGGTCGGACTCCCGCGATTGCAGGGGCATTGCGTGACCTGGTTTAAGCAGTTAAACTAAGTTGGCCTCCCAACAAATAAGAATGATGCATCAACCTGACCTGCCAACAAAAACCCTTAAAGCTTTCCAACTCAACAGGTAAGCTGCGAAGCCTCTTGCCAACCCTTGCCCAAGAAAATGGTGGAGATTAGGCCTGGCATGCGCGGACTTTGTGATGTAAAGGCAAGAACCATGCAGGCCCCTTATCTTTTGCATGGGCGGTGCGGCTGTTTGTGTGAGTGTGTGCTCCAGGAGCATGACCTGGACTCCTTACTCTGTCTATCGTTCATATTTTGTCAAAACTTTTCTCCGAGCAATGATCATCGCTCATTCCTGAGAAGCAGCAGGACCAACGACGGCTGCTTCTCATCGACCCAGGGATGTTTTTGAATACTGCCGCGCCATCGTCTGTGATGCGCTTTAGGCCTCAATGGCTGAAATGGGCGCGGCCAAGTTTTGAACGCTAAGAAACGGAAAGCCGCTCTTTTTTGCTTTGCAGCTAGGTTGACCGCTGGGGACAACCGAGACCAAGGCTGCCTGATTGTGACCTCATCTAAGCTTATTTTGCTGACAACAAACATGGAGGTCCCTTAAGGGGAGCCGGCATCGCTACCGAAGTCTGATTCGGAAATTGCGCACAACACATATGTATTACATAGGTACATAGCTTCGTATAAAGAAACACAGATCAACCAGCAACCGCCAAACGTCGAAAAACAAATCGCCCGCCTTTCTGCCAAAAGCACCAATGGTTCTTGGCGTACATCGGTGGCTTTTGGCCGCTGGGCAGTAGAGGCAATCCTTGCTGCGTGGTCAGCGCCTTGGTGTTCAGCACGCCTGGAAGGGGACGCAGGTGGAATGAGACTACAGCTCAAAGACGTGTGCCGAAATGGTTGGAAACCCCAAAATGAGTGGTTTTCCTCTTCCGGCGTCCCGCTAAACTATGAATCCCAAGAGCACTCTCTTAACTTGGACGATGTACGGGTTTAGTTGGGAAGGTATGTGAAACAATTGTCCCAGTCCCTGTGCCCGCAACCTGCTTGAGGCGCCAGTGATGCGGGACCTTTGCTGACAGATTACATACTACCGCTACGCTCTTAGCATGCATGTTTAACAAAACCATTCCCTCTTAAACGTGCGTCAGTTCAGCGCCTTACCCTTGGGGAGCCTTAAGCCAAAGGGACCATGGGCGCGTCCTTTGTTGACAGTAATTCTCCATTGCGGGGTTGGTTTCGAAAGAAACCAGCAGGAAACTCCCTCCCCCCAAAATGGGGGGGGTCGATTTGTGCTCGACTGTTTTGTTTGAGAGTATCCTTTCTGGGTCGTGACTTTTTCTCGGGAAACCAACAAGAATCCCACCAAAGATTATACGGGTACCTTCCCCATTCTTTCCAGGGATCCTTCTTTTCAGGAAACCACCAAACACCCAGGAGCAGATCCGGTTTTTGAAAAGAACCATGGTTGAAAAGAATGGAAAAGGAATCAGCCCCAGAATTGTTCAACCCACTTGGGTTCCTATAGGGTAACTGGGGTTGGTTCCGAAACCATTTTTGGAATCCGGCCCCCAACGAGAATTGTTGTGTCGGCGCCTGGCTGCGTTCTCGCGGCGAGGTCCTGCAAGCTCAGCGTGGACCGCGTCAGGCGCCAGCCTCGAAGCGGGCTGAGGCGTTATGCAGCCAGCCTTTCAGCCCAAAACATGCGGATGGAGGAAATCCTGCCAGGATGTATGGATGGATGGATGGATGGATGGGTGGGTGAGTGGGTGGGTGGGTGGGTGGATGGATGGATGGATGGATGGATGGATGGATGGATGGATGGGTGGGTGGGTGGTTGGATGGATGGATGGATGGATGAATGGATGGATGGATGGATGGATGGAGGGTGGGTGGGTGGGTGGGTGGGTGGATGGATGGATGGATGGATGGATGGATGGGTGGGTGGGTGGGTGGTTGGATGGATGGATGGGTGGGTGGGTGGTTGGGTGGGTGGGTGGGTGGGTGGGTGGGTGAGTGGATGGATGGATGGATGGATGGATGGATGGATGGATGGATGGATGGATGGATGGATGGATGGATGGATGGATGGATGGATGAATGGATGGATGGATGGATGGATGGATGGGTGGGTGGGTGGGTGGGTGGGTGGGTGGATGGATGAATGGATGGGTGGGTGGGTGGGTGGGTGGGTGGGTGAGTGGCTGGATGGATGGATGGATGGATGGATGGATGGATGGATGGATGGATGGATGGATGGATGGATGGATGGGTGGGTGGGTGGGTGGGTGGGTGGGTGGAGGGACGAACGGACGGACGGACGGACGGGCGGGGGGGTGGGTGGGTGGGTGGGTGGGTGGGTGGGTGGGTGGGTGGGTGGGTGGGTGGATGGATGGATGGGTGGGTGGGTGGGTGGGTGGATGGATGGATGGATGGATGGATGCATGAAACCCCATAACTATTAAGATAAACCACCTATCAACTGCTTTCAGCCCACGTCCGGGTGGCTCGTCTTTGTTGAGTTGGTACCAACCTATTTGGTGGTTTGAAAGGGAACAGGTCCTTAAAGGCCTGTTTGATAGTAGAACTATTGAAATCTAAGAAGTTCAAAAAGCCAACACACAGGGCACCCGAAGCGTAGCCATGCAATTGGCATGGAACTCAACTAACCTTCTTTGTGTTTCCAGCACGCGGGGTGCCCCCAACCCGATTCGATGGCCATCCAGCCCCAATCACAAAGGTCTCTTTCCCGCCAAATTTTGATGCTCCAAGCGAGAAGTCGTGGAAGAACAAGGAAGGCCGCAAATTCCTTCAGCATGGGGAAAAGTGAAAGTCGGCAAACTGGATACTCCGCGTCACGCGGGATTCTCTTTTGAATCTCCACAAACAGTGTCCGACTCGGTTTGACACCGACTCAAAAAGGGCAGATCATGGGCGGGCACGCCTCTCGCGAATTTGGTGAGAGGAGACTGTTCAAGATGCAAGTTCCATTTAGCTCTTCAAGGAACCCCGCATCGCGGAAAGGGGGAGGAAGTTTGCATTCCCGACCAGAGTCGAATTCCTGGCCATCAGGAACGTGTCCACCAGCGAGTCAGCGCGCGCGGAACCGCAAAAGTGTGCGGACAGAATGGCTTCAAGAATGGCCGCCGTGCTTGAACCCCCTTGGCAGCTTGAACTCATTCACCCTTTGGTCGCTCGGCTCTGACGAGCCAGCTCCGCACTTGTCCACCCAGGTTCCTGCCGTCCACCTGCCAAAGTCAGTGGAGTCGCCAGAAATGCGACAGTGTGGTTCGATATCGATATCAGGCCACCCTTGCGGCTCCTTCGCCTCCGCGTGAGCGCAGACTGGGCCGTGTGCTCCTTGTGCCAGTGGCGAGGACCTCTCTCTGGCCGGCCCACTTCACTTATGCTCGGGTCTTTGTCAAAGTCTTCTTCACCGCCTCCAGGACAGAGTTTCGGTCCTCGCGCTGCTCTGAGGTGCCTCCAGGTCTTTTTCACCCGCCTCCAGCTCCAAGGAGCTCCGAGGCGACCGGGACTCCCGCTCGCCACACAGCTCCTCCAAGACGAGCTCCAGCGCTTGGCCGTCCTCAGCCACCTCCAGGCATGTCACACAGCTCCAGGCTGTTCTTTGCCACGCTTGCCAGGCATGGCGAATGCAGCGCCATGTTAAACAGGGCTGGACCTTAAACAGGGCTGGACCTAGCCGAACAAGGCTTGAGCCAGCCTCAAACAAGCCACCCCACCATGGCAACACAAGAGCCTCTAGTCCACTTTAGGAAACGGCCCCCAGAGCTAGAAAGAAGGCAGAAATGGGTGGTCAAAATAGCCCCCCCCCCTCCCCCAAACAAAAAAAGTTTTCAACCCAGCCACAAAAGGCCTTCCAAAACAGGTGTTGGTGGGATAGTCAAAAATTCCCATGGTTGTGGGGGAAGTCAAAAGGTCATTTCAGGTCGAATCGCGTTGGGCAAGTGAGCTACATGGCAGTGGCTCAAAAATGGGGCCCAAAATGGTTCCTGAGTACATGGAAACGAAGATTTCAAAAACTGGGCAACCCTTGCTCTTTACTCAGCTGCCCAAAGGATCCAGAAACAGCAGGTTGACGTTTTGGTGCCTTGACTAAGCATGAGGTGGCGAGACAAACACGCATCTTCCCTTCGCATCGATCTGATCTGGATGCCAGCCCTCCAGGGATCTTTCGGTGCCACTCAAAAGCGATTGTGCTTCTCAAAATGATTGACTCCTTGAGGTAGTTGGGCGGTTTTAAAGCCACCCTCAAAGCGGTACCCTCAAAGAAAACCACACCCATATGAGACCACCCATGTGTCATAATTAGGATTCAACCCCCCTTCCCGCGACCCACTAGCGGGATCCAGCTCCCCCGCAATGGGATTGTATAGCACACTCACAGGGAAATGAGCGAAGTATGAAACCAAATGAGGTTGTTCCCAGATAACATGAATGGTCACGCATGTGCAATCTCTCATACCCGTGGGTTGACTTTGAATTAACCCCCCCTCCCAAACACAGCAGAATTCAATGTAACCACCTGTGGGTTGATTGGGAAGACATACCATTGCCTCTACCAACGACACCTCGCCTCCAAACAGAGGGCAACCGACACCCCCTAGATAAAAATGAGTGTCAACTCACATCTTCATCCTGGCAATGGGCGCCCCTGCAAACGCGCGAAGCCTGCCTACACAGATGTGTAGCGAAAATTCAAACAGAGGATCTCACAACCAGCTCTGGATACGATCTGAATTACCATCATCCAACTGGGAAAAACTCGAATCCCCATGAGCTCCGGGACCGGGACGCCCATGAAATCCTCCGTTCCAAGTCCCCAGCCTACAAAGAGGCGCAGAGAGGTGTGCGCCACTGAGTCTTTCTGCACCTCGAAGGTTCCGGCAATGGCTCAGCCCCGACATCCATCCCTTGCGGGTGGTTTCCCTAGGCTGTATAAATCTTGCTGGTTCGATAGGCAGGGAATGAGACATGGAATGACCCCCATTGACCCATCAAACTGGTGGTTTCCTTAAGGGAATCCCTAGACTTATGACCCTCAGAGATAGGCAATCACTGAAAATCAGCAAAAAGATAAAAAAAAATACAGACGCGGAAACAAACAAAAAACAAAACAAAAAAACAAAAAAAGAACAAATAAAAAACAAAAAACTGCAGCCAGAAACACTTCAGGGGCAGACCAGGTATCCAAAATGTGCAAAAACACGGGGAAAAAAGAAAGAAAGAAAGAACAAACAAAAAACAAATAAAAAACAAAATGCAGCCCGGGACACTTCAGGGGCAGACCAAGCATGCAAAATGTGTAAAAACACGAGGAAAAAAAACAAAAAAAGAACAAACAAATAAACAACAAAATGCAGCCCGGGACACTTCAGGGGCAGACCAGGCATCCAAAATGTGCAAAAACACAAGGAAAAAAACAAAAAAAGAACAAAAAAAGAACAAAAAAAGAACAAATAAACAACACAATGCAGCCCGGGACACTTCAGGGGCAGACCAGGCATCCAAAATGTGCAAAAACACGAGGAAAAAAACAAAAAAAGAACCAACAAAAAACAAATAGAAAACAAAATGCAGCCCGGGACACTTCAGGGGCAGACCAAGCATGCAAAATGTGTAAAAACACGAGGAAAAAAAACAAAAAAAGAACAAACAAATAAACAACAAAATGCAGCCCGGGACACTTCAGGGGCAGACCAGGCATCCAAAATGTGCAAAAACACAAGGAAAAAAACAAAAAAAGAACAAAAAAAGAACAAAAAAAGAACAAATAAACAACACAATGCAGCCCGGGACACTTCAGGGGCAGACCAGGCATCCAAAATGTGCAAAAACACGAGGAAAAAAACAAAAAAAGAACAACAAAAGAACAAATCAACAACACAATGCAGCCCGGGTCACTTCAGGGGCAGACCAGGCATCCAAAATGTGCAAAAACACGAGGAAAAAAACAAAAAAAGAACAAACAAAATAACAAAAAAGAAAAAATAAGCAACAAAATGCAGCCCGGGACACTTCAGGGGCAGACCAAGCATGCAAAATGTGTAAAAACACGAGGAAAAAAACAAAAAAAGAACAAAAAAAAAACAAAAAAAGAACAAATAAACAACACAATGCAGCCCGGGACACTTCAGGGGCAGACCAGGCATCCAAAATGTGCAAAAACACGAGGAAAAAAACAAAAAAAGAACCAACAAAAAACAAATAAACAACAACATGCAGCCGGACACTTCAGGGGCAGACCAAGCATGCAAAATGTGTAAAAACACGAGGAAAAAAAAAAAGAACAAAAAAAGAACAAATAAACAACAAAATGCCGCCCGGGACACTTCAGGGGCAGACCAGGCATCCCTGTTTCCCTCTTTCTGTGCATGCGTGTTGTTTGTTTTCTGTTTTTTGTCTGTTTGTTTTCTGTTTTTTTTCTGTTTTTTTCCCCGGGGTGTTTTTTTGTTTTGTTTTGTTGTTCAGTGTGTATTTTTGGTTTGTATTGTTTTTGTTTTTTGTTTGTTTTTTGTTTCTTTTTTGTACTTCCCAGTTATTGCCTCAGTGAAAGTCTTAACCCTAGACTCATTCCCAACACCCGGACTCAGACATTCCCTACTGAGCTCCAGCAAGCTATTAATACTTTAAATCGCACCAGCGAAATCAGAAACAAAACCAACACACGTTTTTTCGTGTCTTTTTTTCTTCTTTCTTTCTCGGACATGCTGATCTCTGGGATGTCAGCTGAAGTTTGCGCTGAATGCAAAATTGGCCTCGACGTGCTTGCCTGAATGGACAATTTAGTCACTTTTTGCACCCGAGCTCGTAGCAATCTGGGAACGCTTTGTAGCAACCGGAGAAGAATGCAGACCCCATGACCTCGAACCCGAGAGGTGGCGGCCCGGGCCCGGGCCCTTGGGAGGTGCATCTGTACATTGGGACTCCACTCACCCAACAGCCCGAGAGAGGTCTTCCCTTTGAAAGGCGCACGCTGCACCCCCGGAGAGCGGAATTCGTCAGGCAAGAAAATTTGAGCCCCTGATTCCTGTGGGTAAAGTTAAAGGAGGAGAAACCACCCCTGACCTCCAAACCATCAGGCTTCAAACCCCCAGAGGGAAGCTAACTTCGGAAGGCCTCGTGCAGGATATTCTGGTAGAAGACCAGCAGATGCCCCGGAGGCACTTCCTGGGCCAGAGACTTGGCTGTGGCTCAAAAACATGTACAACAATGGCACCTGGCTAAATGGAAACTAAAACTAAAACCTGCGTAACCCCAGGTCTGTAATTTTGAGCCACACCCACTTGGTTTTGTGGTTTGGACCCTAAAAAGTGCCTTCTCTCTGGTTTGAAAAGGAAGGCTTCATTTCAAACCAAACCACCAATCCAAAGCACCCCCGCGGTATTTGCTATCACCTAGGCAAGGACACCTTCGGGTGATGTTACCCAAGCGACTTCACCGCGGGTGCACTTTCACGTGACATCCAAGCCTCTTTGGTGCCTAGAAGGAAAACGCGACCCGCCCCCAAATGGGGCTTGCGGCTTCCGAGTACAGCTGGTTTCAAGAAACCAAGAATCCCAACGAGTTTCCATGGCACCGGGGCCCGAAAACGATGACACCGGAGTTGACTCGCAGTTCAACTCCACAGCTAGGCCAACGGCCACCCGAAAATTGGGGGTCGGGCACTCCAAACAAATAACCCCTTATGGTTGATTGAAAGCTAGAGTCCTTTGCGGCATCCTCCTTGTTTGACGGGGTTGGCTTACACCTATACAAATTCCACACATAATTGCATGCTTTCAACAAGGTAGTCTTAATGATAACCCGGGATGTCGCTTCTTCTTTGAGGGCACCCATCGTTTTATAAAGCACACGGACAACAAAGGGAAACCGAGCCCGATTTTCCCACATTTCGAGACCACGTGCCATGAGGCCCACCTTGTGTTGAGAAACGCCAATCCGCAAGCTGTTCACCCATCTGTTCTGTCAGTCACCCAGATTTCAGGGTTCTCATTGCCAATTTGTCCCAAAAAGAATCCCGAGAAATAAGGGTTGGAGGGTTCAGCTAGGGCTGAGCACCCACTTGTTCTGCGCATGTCACTCCTTTCGCTGGCTAATCTAAAACTGTCGAGTTCTTTGCAGGAACGATCATCGGATCATGCACGGCGCATTGAATCATTCAGAGTATGCCCAAAGAAGAGCTTACTCTCTTTGGGCGCTATGGGAAAAGGACAAACCGTTTTTACTCGCTGCAAGCTCAAGGAGAAAAAAACGCTGCAGGGAAAAGAAACAAGCGGATGCCACGAATCGAATGGACAGCTGTCCATTGGCACCTCCTGGGTTGGTTCGATGCGGCTCAGGGGAACAAATCCTCGCATTTTGAGACCTGTTTTCGTTTAGGGGCTGAAATGCGTGCTTGCAAACGACACCATAGAGTGGTTTCGGGCGCTTTTGTTTTTGGGAGTTTGGGAATTGCAGGAGTGCTTGTCCTCTGAGACAAAGCGAGCGATGTTGGCTTTGACCCGAGATGCCACTCTGCGCATACAGCGGCTAGTCTGCTCGCGGCAGAAGCCTCCGTCGGGAACAAATCAAAAGCAGCGGCTTTTGCATATCTGTTTGCTTTCCAGTGGCCAAGTCCAAGTCTAAGGGCTCCTCATTGAAGCCTGAGACCTATACGGAGAAAAACCCGGGGGGTTCTCTCAGATTGCGAAAATAATATCAGCAGAATGGCGGGCGTCCAAAATGGTCTCGCAACACACGGTCGAAGTCTTTCAGGAGACCACTCGCTGATCCATCCATCATCTGAATAGATCTGAGCGCCTCGACTGGTTCTAAGCCGAGTGCAGTGGTGTTGTCCGGACCTGTCACCTAGGTCCTCCAGTAGAGAGGGTAGAATAAGGATACCCCTTTTTCTGTAGTCTACTTTAGTGGGGGCACCCCACCCAAAAAAGGGTAAAAGGGCACAACTGGGGGACCTACTCACATGTCTCGACTAAACTGACGAAACCAAATGGAACCAATCTCCATGATTGACCAATCGGCTTTGGCGCTTTCTCCATTGCCTCCATTTGCTCAAGTCCCCTGGAGAAACAAAAAAACAGTAGTGATAGATTCCCTTTAAAACTAACGGGGGAAATAACAAAATATTCTTATTAAAATGGAAGATTGGGGTCCTGCGATCTGCGATGAAACATGATGAGTATCGGGGGCTGGCTCAGGGAGTGCCCAAGCTTCAACGAGGTGAACGCAGCGGTGTGCGCGTTGTTGTCTGGTTTTACGGTTACGGGTTACGGCACCCGTAAAAACAACATGACTTCAAGAGGGCTGGTAGTGGGTTGAATAAAAAGGTGAGATTCTCAAACTACCCTGAATGGTGAGCCTGGAACCCCACGGCGAATGATGCATGTCGCGACTGCCAACTCAAAATCCACACACTCAAACGAACCCACAAATATCCCGAGTTGAGCACCGAGAAGTCAACTTTCTGGGGACCGGCGAAAAAACATTCTCGGCTTTGCTTTGGGTCTCTTTCAACCAAGGCGAAAAGCGAACGCTGAAAAAGAGCGCAATGGAACTAACATGGGCCTGGTATACCGGACCGCTGAAGGGCAGAACTTGCGCATGCCAAGAAAAAAACGACCTCACCATGCAAATAGCTCGGAGTTGCCATCGAGCAAAAAAACACTTTGGGTCATGGGTTCCGAAAACAGCGCGGAAACCCCCCAACTTTGGTTTCCCCATCCAAAAGGAGTCTCCCTGGTTGACGTTGGAAGGCGAGCAACAATTTAATTTTAGCAGTTAACTGGGAATTTCCCACTAAACTACAATAAGCAAACATGTAAAATGTTTCCCAACAACAACCATGTCTCCTGTTGGAGGAACCATGCAACTGTTGTGTCCATTTCGATCCACCGGCGGCCTTGGCCAGGGAGCTGGTCGGCGTCTTCGTGGCTGCCAGGCACGCAGTGGAAAAATTGGCTCCGCGAGTCCTGCCGCAAAAAGGCGGCACCCCCACCACCCCGAGCTCGACATAGGTCAAAACTGATGCCCCAAAAAACAGGTTTGTGTTTTTTTCTTTGTTTTCCTGTTTTCTTGGGGGAGGTTTGACATGGCACGAACTGGACCTGCGGCGTCCCCTATAAAAATAACCCCGGGCCAAACCAGGGTCTGGTGACCAATAAAGCGTGTGCCAAGATGATGGACCCGCGAATCTGCTCTCTAGGACTGCTGAATCCACAAAATCCCAGTGAAACCACCAACCCAGGGGACAGCTTTTTGGTCACTCAGTGCCTTTCAACAGCCCAGGATCATTGCAAAGGTCGGGCACGGTTGCCCTAGTTCTTACCGAAGAAAGGTGGGTTGCCCTTCTCGTCCAGAATGAGAAAAAGAGACTACCAGCACACTTGTCAGTGGCCCAAGTCCGCGATTTTGACAATAATCCCAAAAAACAGTGGAAAGCAAGAAGATCCCCGAGCAACCGACCTACCATCAGCGCGTGTCAGCCCCGGTCCAGGTTGAGCCACCCCCCGAAGATCTCATCTTCCGGCAGCTTGAAGCGAGCCAGATCGCCTTAAGTTGCAACACTGCAGGAAGGAACAGGAAACATCCTCCACGAAACAAGAGGACAACAAAAGTTCTCTCCAAAAGTACATGTGGTTGAACATCCTCAGGTGTTTCTGGCCCGCTTTTGCAAGGCAAGGCAACAAGCAAAAGGGGATATCGGTGCAAGCGTAAGCATATGTGTATGCTAAGTGTACGTGTAAGTTCGTTTGTGATTGTGTGTGTGTGTGTGTGTGTGTGTGTGTGTGTGTGTGTGTGTGTGTGTGTGTGTGTGTGTGTGTGTGTGTGTGTGTGTGTGTGTGTGTGTGTGTGTGTGTGTGTGTGTGTGTGTGTGTGTGTGTGTGTGTGTGTGTGTGTGTGTGTGTGTGTGTGTGTGTGTGTGTGTGTGTGTGTGTGTGTGTGTGTGTGTGTGTGTGTGTGTGTGTGTGTGTGTGTGTGTGTGTGTGTGTGTGTGTGTGTGTGTGTGTGTGTGTGTGTGTGTGTGTGTGTGTGTGTGTGTGTGTGTGTGTGTGTGTGTGTGTGTGTGTGTGTGTGTGTGTGTGTGTGTGTGTGTGTGTGTGTGTGTGTGTGTGTGTGTGTGTGTGTGTGTGTGTGTGTGTGTGTGTGTGTGTGTGTGTGTGTGTGTGTGTGTGTGTGTGTGTGTGTGTGTGTGTGTGTGTGTGTGTGTGTGTGTGTGTGTGTGTGTGTGTGTGTGTGTGTGTGTGTGTGTGGTGTGTGGTGTGTGTGTGTGTGTGTGTGAGTGTGTTGTGAGTGTGAGTGTGAGTGTGAGTGTGAGTGTGAGTGTGAGTGTGAGTGTGAGTGTGAGTGTGAGTGTGAGTGTGAGTGTGAGTGTGACTGTGACTGTGACTGTGACTGTGACTGTGACTGTGACTGTGACTGTGACTGTGACTGTGACTGTGACTGTGACTGTGTGTGTGTGTCTGTGTGTGTGTGTCTGTGTGTGTGTGTGTCTGTGTGTGTGTGTGTCTGTGTGTGTGTGTGTCTGTGTGTGTGTGTGTGGGTGGGTGCGTGTATGCGAGCGAGCGCTCGCGCAGGCGCGAAGGAAAAACACAAACACGGGGGACATGGTTGCTTTCGGCAGGAAAGCACCAACAAACAAGGGGGGCGCTGTGTGTGTGTGTGTAATTGGTCAATTTTGACTGAAAGCACCAACAAAGCAACTGCCCCAAGCATCATTCAGCCCTCCAATGAAGGGGGTCAGGACCTCCGTTGGAAGGTGTTGGACGTCAAAAACAAGGTTGTGAAGGAAGCCGAAAAGGAACGCCGACGCCATCTTGGGGGTCCTTCAAAAGAACACAGCCGTGCCGATAAGTAGAACAGCTTTTTGCCACTGAGCTGCGGTGGGCGGTCTCCCCGGACATCTTATCGCCTGGCTGTGCGAATGGTGACGTATGGGACTGGGCCGAAGGGAGCCATGGCCACATGTGGTAACAGAGTTCCAACAAGTTGGGTATGGGTCAAAATCAAGCAATTAGGGGACCACAGGTTGTAGTTGTCCATTTACCAGGGCTCCATTTTGGGGAAAACCTATTTTTGACGCACACCCAGTTGGCACAGGGGATGAAAGCAAGATGGGAGTGCGGAATGTGGGGCGGCGCTGGGGACCCCAGCTTGGAAGCTTGGAAGGTTCAGGGTTCCAGTAGAACATACCGCTTGTCCATGACACCAAAGGTGTTCGGGTTGTACTGAATCAGCTCAAAGCGACCTTTTCCATGACTAAAAAAAAAAAAAACGTTCACTCGCATCAAATGGGCCCTCAAAAAGGGCATCCATACAGTGGATGGACGAAATCCTGCACGACCCAAGAAACCCTGGAATGATGATTCTCATGTAAATAACCGCAAACAATGGCTTCTCATGGTTTCAAACTGGTGCAGGATTACGTCCATCCACAGTAGCACCTTTCCCCCTTCAACGAGGCTCCGTTCTGATGCTTAGGGCACATTGGCTTCAGCTCCCCAAATCAGCGTTTCGCTCAGCGGATATAGCTCACTCAATTCAAACTGTGCCGCTTATGTCAGGAATAGAGGACAGGCAGGGACTGATGCTGCAGCATATGCGGACGCCAAAGATCCCCGCACACGCCATGCGCATCTGCCGCACAAAGCTTGCACCTCACGGCTCACAAGCCACTTAGCTTGGTTGCGGTTGGGTGGAAGGGGAGCAAAAAGTGAGACAAGTTTTAGCAGATCAGTGGATTTGGGTATTCAACCATTAAACCAGAATAAGCAAAAATGGTCAAAATGTTTCCCAACGACAACCATGACAAGATGCATTACTTTCCGCTTCAGACATCTGCTGCAGAATCTCATGAAGCCTAATCAACTTCCCTCACAGTAGAAGTGTTTGTACGGAGTCCGAGAAAACAGGGGCATTTTTTTTTGCGGCAGTAGATTTTAAGTGGAACCCCATCCAAAACCAGTGGATTCCAGCTACCCAGGTACCCAGCTATTGTTCTTTTATACTTTGGGGGCTATAACCCCTTTTATGGGATTGTGTTATGGCTCAGGTCAATGGCTCCGGGTTTTGATGGCTCGATCTCCCACATCACGCCCAACTCTCCGCCTGGCCGGCGCAGGCAGAGGCGATCCCACAGCAGCTCCAGCCTCCGGGGGGCTCTCGGCCCCAACTTCGAAGGGACCGTCGCCAGGAAGTCGCGGAAGAGGCGGAGACCCGGGCGCATGCACAGCAGCCTCGGGTCGGTCGCAGGGAGGTGATGCCGCATGACACTGTAATACCCTGACGCAAACATTGAAACCGCCCACAAACATCATTTGAAGAAGAACACAAGTCCATACTGTGCGTGTGTCGGTTACTAAGTTGTTGGTTGCATAATTTGGCCGCATGTCCCGTGGCACTTGCAAAGGATTTTGGATCTTATCCGGTCTTTCTTCTACAACGAACTTATGGTGCGGCTGTAGCATGCTTGCGTCAAGACGGGAAAAAACCCAGAGCAGCTGTTGGATGCACATGCCGCGCGCCCCTGTGGATGGACGAAATGAATTCCGCGCCACCCAAGAACCATGAAGTTGAAACCAGTTGGTATGTCTATGGGAATCATCCCAGGGTTTCTTAGGTGGTGCAGGATTTGGTCCATCCACCGTTCAGGAGGGGGGAGGGTCCTCCAATCCAATGAAACTACAAAGGGATTTCAGCTCACCCAGTTCCATGTTTAGGGGATGGGGGTTGGGATGCACCAAACTTGGTGAAGAAAAGGAGGCCTGGAAAATCAGCTTTTCAAAGTTGGTCCGGTTTCAAGTTTCAAGAAATCATTAACAGCTCGAGATAGGGGTTGATTCCCCACTCTCTCACTTTGTTCAGCCATTGTTCTCGTCAAAACTAAGGTGTTGCCATTGAGTTGTTGGCGACGCTTGGCAAAAAGCAACACATCTTTGGGGATAAAGACATATAGCCCACTGGAGTCACAAACTACATGGTGTGTCCGTTTACATGCAAAGCAACACGGCCCCGTACAAATAGTAACTAAGAGTCTTCCACTTGGCCTTTCCTTCTGTAGCTCACTCTGAACTGGGGCCATGTTGCATCCCCTCCCCCCAAGACGTAGTTCTCCTGCCCGGCATGGCCCGATTTCTGAGGAGCAGCCGGCAGCGCCGCACTGCGGGGTGATGGAAAGAAGATGGGTTGCCTCAGTCACCATCGAGTCATGTCCTCCCAAACGCCCCGAAAATAGGGGCTAACCGTTTATGCTTTTGAGACCTTGACCCACCAACATGGGACACCAAGCTTAAATAGTTAACACGGCGGCGTTTGCCCCGTTTCTGCTTGGGACCCCCTAACCTAGTACCAGCGAAGATTGTGCCTGAGCAGGGCTGAAACACCGACATAGCCTCGGTCAACTTCCGTCTGCTTGGTGAGGCCCCCATCGTTTGCTGTTAGTTTGGTTTGCAGGAGTACTGTCTGTCCATGCAATTGCAGGGGAGACTGAAAACAACATACGCTGAATTCAATCTGTTTCATGCTACCGTTGACCCCGCCTATGCCATGATCCAAAACCTGAGCCAACTGAATCATGCCAATCCGAAGAAGTGTGCCTTTCAACTTGGTCAAAGCTCAACCCTAAACCTAGAATCATGGGGGTGTCTGCAAAAAGCGGCCCCTCAGAAGTTGTGGTTTGCCTTTTGGTTTCCCTTTGAAACCAACCAAAAGAGGGTCCTGAAGTCAATTTTCTGCGTACATCCAGATATCCAAGGTGGAAACATGTCCAAGGCCTTGGAATCACTTTCTGCCATAGGAGTCTCCCTTTACATTGACAAATGATAGTCCTGCGCATGGCAAGCTTTGGTATCACAGAAGGTGATTCTCCCCTTCTCCCCAAAAAAGGACAGGAAGTCTCCCCTCAAACTGTTGGCCCAGACAAAAATCGACTCCGAAGACGCGGCTCAAACTCTGGGAGCTCCGAGAACCAAACAGGGGAGCATGCATTTGGGTGTCCTGTTTTTTTTTGGTTGCAGAGGGCGCTCCGACAGACCGGCAAAAACGTTCTCCGAGACAGAAAACGGTCGAGGAGTTGCTCAGTTGCTCCCAGCAAAAGTTGGCCAAGGTATGGAATGCGGGCATGAGTCGATCTTCGTGCGGGTTCCTCCTTTGGGGATCAAAAAAGAGTTCATTCAGAACCAGCACCTGTTTAAACAACAACTTGAGAATCCACAGCGTCGTGGATCAAAATGCACGTTTCCCAGTGGCCCATGGGTCAATTCCAGCCCCCAAAAGAACCCTTGACCATAGTAGGCGTAAAAAATCGCCGTCGGAAACATGGTCGAAAATGGAGCTCCAATTTTGGATTCCGAGTGGTGAAAACCCAGCCAGTTCTGAAGATCTACCCACCGACTAACATGGAAGTGCAAAACTTTCCAAGAGGAAAGTCGTTTCTTCGTTTCTTTCTACGGGTGTCTGTGCACTTCCATCTTATAGCTGGTGGGAGGGTACCACTCGGCTCGCTCCCCCGACCTCCCAGCATTTTCTTTCGCGAAGCCGCCCAGCGCTCCGAAGCTGCCCAGCACCAGCTTCTCGGCGCCTCGACCGGGAAATTTTCTGTTGGGATGGTGTGTAGAAGGGGAAAAAGCACTGGCCGGTGCTCTGCGGGGAATGAGAAATGCTGAGAGAACCTGGAGCTACCCTCAAAGGAAACCAGGGGAGGATGAGACATGGAATGAACCGTTGGATTCCCGACGAATGGAATCCATAGGATGGTCAGTTTGTAGGGGTCATTCCATTTCTCATTCCCTGAGCACCAGCAAGAAAAGAGAAAACCGAAAGAAATGATAAACACCGAACCTTTAAGACAGACCCATTTGGCGATGTGCTTTCCGATTTTGAGACAGACCCACATGGGGTTGTCTCACAGGGAAAGCAGCACAATGTAAAACAAAACGGTTTCCCGTGGATTCCCCTTTCAAAAAGGGGAAGGGTGCCCTCAAAGAAAGACACACCCACTAAAAATGGCTGCTTTGGGACCCCTTCTGGAAACGGATCGTTGAGAAAGTGTCCAACCTACTGTTCAGCGACCCAAAACCTCAATTCCAACCCCTGTGGTCTCCCCAAGATTTCCTTGGGCTTCTGGTTGCTTGGGAAAAGCCCGCCCGAACCAAAGGGGCCCATGTTTCCCCAAAAAAAACATGCGACGAGTCAAACGCCGAGTCAAGCGCCGCCTGGTTTTCTTGCTCTTTCCCCGCAAAATTCCCCTCCGCCCAAAAAAAAGAAGACGGAGCAAGGTACCATAAGAGTTCAACTCAAAGCTTGGTCATTGCTCAACTCTCAAGGATTTGAGTCTTTTCTACCAATCACTTTAGTGGGCTAAGAGCCCTCAAACTGTTGGCCCAGACAAACATCGACTCCGAAGACATCGGCGGCTCAAACTCTGGGAGCTCCGAGAACCAAGCAAAAAACGCATGCATTTGGGTGTCTTGTTTTCTTTTTTGGTTGCTTTTTTGTTTGGAAGGTACCCTTTTATGGCGGCCAAAAACGAACACAAGGAATCCACCCCTCAGTCAGGAGGCTACCCCTATTTTGAGACGCACCCTGAGGGGAACAAAAGGAACCTGCCCCAGTTTGGATGGTTCCCAAATTCCTCTAAGGCACACCCATATGAGACTTTCATCCAACCGAAGCCCCATCCGAGCATAGGTGGCCTTTTGGAAAAATGGATGGGTTTCCCTGGTAAATGGAAGAACCCCCGCCTAAACCGGTGGAACCCATCTATTTCTAATCAAAGTGACCTACAAAGGACACCTATGCATCAACCAGTGCCATCTGTTTTCAATCAAACTTTCACCCAACCGAAGCCCCATCCGGGCTGCCTGGCAGAAACTCGGGGAACTCCTGGAGGGCCTGCAGCAGCTCCCGTCTCAGCGCCTTGCGGCTCACCCGACTCTCCTTTGCGTCCGAAGCTCCGAAGCTCCGAGGGTGTGACCTGCTCAGAAAATGTCCACATAACGTGTTTGTTTCCCGTATCCAAGGGTCCAAAATGCATCAAGGGTCCAAATATCAATAACTGCAAGCAGACCTTATGATGATGGCAGGGATCTAGGGCTTGTCTTTATGTTGATGGAATTGGCCTTCCTCTGCGCCCTTTCAAAGACTCAAAGGGCTGGGTTTCTGCAGGAGACCAGCTTATTTCGGGTGCTTTTCTAGGGGTTGTCTCCCCATTATTTTCAACCATCCTTCTTTTCGAAAACCGGATCCGTTCTCCTGGAGGTTCTGGAGGCTCTCTAAGAAGGATCCTGGAAAGAATGGGGGAGGTACCCCTTTAGAAGGGAATGACTTTCCGAGTCCGGGTTTGGGGAATGAACCGGTTTTGGGAATTCCGGTAAAGGAAACCATAGGTGATGGTCTATATCCGGGTCAGTGCCTCATTCCCTGCTGAGAACCAGCAAAATACAAAGCAAAGCTGTTGGTGGGCACACCTGTTGCTGGTTGAGTCGTAGCCGAAACCCACTCAAGAATGAACAACAGGCGGCTGGTCCGGGCAGAGGAAACCGAAGACCAGAATACACAAACTCATGAAAAGCCAACCGAGAGTATGTTGATTTGCCTCGGAACTGGGAAACGACGGACGAACTCAAAGCACACTCCCGACAAGAACCCAAGGTAAACGAATACAGACAGCGAAAACCAAAGACTCTAAAGAGACCAGGAAACCAAACTGAAAGCAACACACAAACGCAAACTGAAGCAAATCAAAAAGCAAACCAAAGACCTGCCAAAAGAAATCTGACAGGAACCCGCAAAGGAAACCACAAAGGGAAACCAGCAAGGAAACCAACCGGCCACTTTGCTTGGGAGTAGGGTCCTCCGCATCAGGGAAGATGGGGACCGTCCGCACGCCTTCCGTACGTAGGCACCTGTGCGTCGAGCCTGTGGTACCCAACAATAAAACTCGGCAGATGAATAGGAAGGGCTTAAGGACTTTCTACCCTCCCACAGACATGGCACCTACATAGGTGGCCTTTTGGAGAAATTGATGGCCCTGGTAAATGGAAAAAAACAACAACATCTCAACCAGGGCCCTCTATTGTTTCCTCGCGTTTGATCCTGCCCATAAATAAGGGTACCCTATTTTTTCTGTAGTCTATTTTAGTAGGGGAACCCTCCCAACCAAAAAAGAGGTGAGAAAGGGCACCGCTCTCTGGTTGCCGCCCGCGGAGCTCCAAGTCTTTCCTACCCTCGGGGCTCTGGGCCCGAAACGGAGCGAGCGAAACGGAGCCCCATGGCCCGCGGTCTTGAAAAAGGCCTCCTCCCAAACTTGGTTGACGTTGGGCTTGGGGACCAAGAATTGAGACAAATTTTCGCAGATCGGTGGATTTGGATTTCAACCACCATAAACCACAACAAGCAAACATGTAAAATGTTTCCCGACAACAACCGAGCAAAGGGCATGAAAAAACGAGTGAGTGCCCTGAGTGGAATGTTTATAGCTCCCAAATGGACAATCGAGGACATGTTGAGCTCGATGAACCCGTGCCTTTGCGTACCGCAACAAACCTTGGAATGCACCTGTCAGAGACGCAAACCACGGGCCCAAAAACCCAAAGGTATCCTGGCGGCCGAGAAAAAAAAATGGGGGCGGACCAGCGTCCACAACCCCTAGGCCTTCTTGAGGCTCCGAATTGACTGCCCTTGCGCGGATGCACCCTCCAGGTCCATGATCGAGCATTCACTCAGCTATTGACATGTTGTCTAGGTCCTCCAGGTTTGAGAGGTTAGAATAAGGGCCCCTGTGTTCCCGAAGAAAAAACAAAGTAAAAGGGCACCACTCGAAAAACCTAGTTGTAGCATTTCTTGTTTCTTAGGCCACGTTTCGTTGCTCACAAGAAGCCCTGCTGGATCGCGACATTGAAGCATCTTCTTCGTTTTGGCACGTCACATTGTGGTGGGGCCACCCATTCGTTTTTAAACATGTCTAAATCACTGGCTATGATTCTTCCCTTGTAAAGGTGGTGTTTAAACCATGTTTCACCCATTCAAACCACCAAACATTTCGAGAGAGAAAAGGAACGAGGAACTCTTTGACATTTCTGCCATGCATTATACACCTGAACATTGTCTTGAAATGGTTGGTTTCCCTTTATTTTGGTGGAAAAAGCCATGTTTCAATTGGTTGCAAAATGTATCTTTTAAGGAGCCCTGAATAAGGGTACCCTTTTTTCTGCAGTCTATTTTAGTAGGGGAACCTTGCCCTAAAAAAGGGGAGAGAAGGGCACCCAGCTGGGGGACCTAGACTGAATCACCATCGAGCCTGGGCAGAAGCGGCAGCGGCTGCTGTCGCTTCGCCATAGCGATTCAGCGCAGGCCGCAGCATGGACGAGCGAATTACATGGCAATTGTTCCTTCCAGCTACTGTTAAAGACACTATTGATGGGAGTTGAAGTGCTCGCAGGCCCGAAAGCACTCCTTTCCCTATCCGTCCAAGCTATTTTTTCTGCTCATACCGATCAAATCGTTCAGCGCCATACTCCAAACTACTGAAAGCAAGCCCCAAACCCGCAGCAATGACTAGGGATTAGTTTTGATGAGCCCCCTCCCTCTATATATGTGATTACTTGTGGATAAATGTTGTATTCTCACACTCCAGTTTGAAGCTTCTGGGCCATCAAACAAGGCTCAAGGCTGCCTCGAAAGTTGGAAGCAGATCGCTTTGAAAAGAAACGGTAGCAAGGGGGTCCCGCAAAACCTTCAGAACTTGCATAGGGAAAGCCATTCCCACTCCATGACATCCACGTCATTCATTCAGAGTTTGAAGCGGAAAATGGAGTGACACGCGTCCATCCAAACAAACCATGCGCGGCATCCCCTGTTGGAAACCAGGCTCTGAACGGGGCCATGAACCATTTGGCCGTGCCATCAGCTCGACCCCGAGCCAGATGGCTGCGCCGGCTGGGAACCCTGGCGCAGCTGAGGAAACGGCCAACAGAATCAAGCTGTTGTTTGGAACCAGACTAGGTCCTCCAGATTTGAGAGCTTGGAATAAGGGTACCCGATGTTTTTGTTCTCGGTTTTGTCTATTTAGTAGGGAAAGCCTCCCCAACAAAAGGGGTGAGAAAGGGCACTACTGGGGGACCTAGCAGAGGAGCCGCGGGATCCACTTGCTTTTGCCAACAGTAACGGCTGCGGCTCCAAAAGGATGCCGAAATGGCGCTGACATGATCCCCGGAAACAGCTCCTCGCAGCACGATATGGTCCCAGCCAAACCTGATGTGGACCGGTTTGACTGGGATTGACTATCTCTATTCAAATACGCATCCGTTCTGTGGGCTATCTAGGCTTTGCGTGGAAGCCGTGCCATGATAGGATTCTGTCCGTGCAACGGTACACTCCATTCCGTGTGTGTGTGTGTGTGTCGTTTTTAGTCACATGTTGAATGCATTTCCAAACCTACCCATCATACTTGCATAAGAGCGCATCGCTGAGTACGCTGACACAAAAGGGGAACATCATTACACAAACTACACACACTCGATTGATATGGTCACATGAATCCTCTATAATCAGTAGTGGGACTAACGTATGATAGCTTCCTAACGTCGTAGGCCTTCGTTTGTTAACATGGCGCCCGGATTTAGCAGGACTCAGTACGCCGCAGTCCAAGACGACCTCCGTTAAAACGGGACACGGGCGCCCCTTTTCGGCAGTTGATCCAATAAAAAGTGTTCAAAAGCGAAATAGTTGACGGGTCTTGGCAACAGAACCCGGCTCTCGTTCAGAACATGCCCAGTCTGAAGCTTGGCCAAACAACACCATGTCCTGAAGTAGAGGCCGTCTTGACAATGGTTGCCGCAAGGAGCTTTGACATGTTTCTAGAGGTTGAGTTCGCATTCTTTCCCACCATCTGCTTCTGGCAAACCAGAAACACGCTTTGCTTTGGTGTTCGATTGTATCCCAGGAAAAATGGGGAGGAGGGAAGCTACCAGGACTTCTGCAATCATCTTCGCAACTGACGGGTGTCATATTTAAGCAAACTTAAGAGCCATGCACATTGTTACAGGGTGCCACCGGCATGTTGCCGGGGCAAAAAGGCAAACACAAAAGAGGATCGAGCCCGGCAGTTTTGGGGGCGAAACCGACCACAAAGGCCCGACCGAGCTTCTGAAACAAGAAATCAAAATAGTCGGAACCCACTATATGTTCTCTTTTTAAAAGAAGAACACTTGACCACACATCTACCATCCGAAAAGAGGGATCGACAAACAGGATTCCTCATAGGTCTTGTTTAAGCATCGCTGCACCAAAGCAGGAATCAATCGACGTTGCCCAAACAGGTGAAGTTTCACTGCCACACGGATGGACATTCATGTGCCTTTCGCCTCCTCGCGAAAAGGAGAACCACTTAAGATTGACAACGACCAATGACCAGTGACAAGGATCATCTAGCCACCATGCCCCTCAAAGCAAGGCACCACCACCTTTTTCAGCATAGCCACCATGCCCCCAGCATCTCCCTGGCCTATGTCCGCATGTTTCTGAGCTCTGACCAACCAAGAAGATTTCCATTAGTTGAGCTCTGATTGCTCCGCATGTTTCTTAATGAAAAGACCCTTCCTCAACCACAGGGAATTCTGCAGCACCTGGTCGCCTTGGCCGCCGTGCACGTCGGCCTGGAACCGAAACGGCCTGGCGGGAGAGGAGTGCTGCTGCTCGGACACCTTTCAGTTGCCCGGAGTCCCAGTGGACATGTCCAAAAGGGCAAAAATGGGCCACGTTTTTGTGTATAGTTGATTTTAGGGGCGGCCTTTTTGTGTATATAGTTGATTTTTCAAGGAAAGCCTTTGCGAAAAGAAATAAAGGAGAAACGTAAGGGGCACTGGGGTCGGAGGGGGTCAAACATCCGTGTGGCATGGCCATCCCACTCGTCCCATTCGCAGCCAAGGTGGGTTTCACCTTTGTGGGGCGCATGCGAAGCAGAAACCTTTGAGGATCACCGCAAAGCGGTGATGGATTTGTAGAGCCTTTCGAATGCTGAATGAAATTGTGGGACCCATACCTTCCTTCTCATGCACAAAGAAGGATTTGTTCGGCTTTGGGCCCGCCAGAAACCCCCAGGGCCCTTCGCGATTCTATTTGCCCAAACTGAATGGTCTCCAAATGGAAACCCCCACAATGGGCGTGTTCCCCCGATTTTCCTTATTTGACATATGGAAATTCACCTGGCAAACGCCCTGAGCACATCAGAACGTTCTTCGTGGAGCCCAGGCTGGATTCAACCCATCGTCAATGTCCCCCATCCCCAATTGTGCAAAAAACTCTCAGAGTGGTTCCAAGGCACCTCAAAAGCTACACCCCCTTCCTTCCGTTTTTTTGAGTCCCCTGGAAGAACGAATAGTTCCAGCAGATATAGATCCCCTTTAAAACCGACATGGAACATATTAATATATATATATATGTACTGATGTATATTTGTATTCTCAAGCAAATGGAGGCTTTTTGAGGACCGAAATTGCCCGAGACGTCTGCCAGTCGACTCGCTTGCCTTCGCTTTGGCACCCGCCTGACGGGGTAACATGGAGCTGTTCTCGATCAACTTGGTTGACGTTGAAAGGGGAGCCAAAAATTAAATTTTAGCAGTTAAGTGGGGATTTCCCACTAAACCACAATATGCAAAAATGTAAAATGTTTCCCAACAACCACCATGGTTTGGGAAATTAACTATACCCCGTGGTGCCGTGAGCTTCTCGAAATGGAACTCGGGCCCCGTTTTGCTGCTTGGATGTGTTTTTTGAACAGGGGGACCCCTTGAGAAACACCCGTCTTGGAAATTACGGCTCATTGCAAGAACAGGTGTCTTTTCTTCTGGTGCTTCCTAATGGGGGACGCGTTGAGATGGTTGGGGGTCCTGGTAAAACCATCCAGGCCGTAATTCTTGCACACGCCCAGACAGCCTAGACCCACCTCAATGAGGCAGAAACTTTTGAGGGCAGGGGTTCCCTTTTCCGTTAGCCATGATACGACTCCAAAGCAACACGCGGCAACTCCGCACTGTTCGGGGTGCAGCAACCTGGTCTGACACATATCTGCAGCGGACATGCACCCAGCGATTCCATTTCACTTATAGTAGAGTAGGGTAGTTACTTAGTATGGGTGTAAGTGGGATCTACTGGAGTATACTTGCCAAAGCTCTCCTGCTTGACCAGCGACGGTCTCATCGAAAATCAAGAACCAAGGCCATAATCTCATGTCGCAGCTTTCCGGCAAGCCTAGCGCCTCAACAGTCCGATTCAAACCCAAAAGTTGGCCCAAAAGTCGCATCATCAAATCAAAAGCTGAAGGCAAGGCTAGAGAAAGCAGATCAAGCACTCAACGCCCAGTCGCGCTGAAAGCACCGGATCACACACTCCCCATTCGCATGAAACTCCAAAACCAACATGTTAACTTTTTGGGGCTCGAAATTTTCGGGAAAGGATGCCATTTGGAGGTTCTATGTGAGCAGCGCCCGAAACGCATTCACCTTTTGTTCTACTAACATGGTTCTAACGGTTTTTGGTTGGTTTTTCTATATAGCCCCAATTAAACCACGTAGCACAACCTTTACACAAATGACAAAAACAAGCTTTGGGCGCTGCTCATGTGAATTTGCAGAGTACCCAACATCTTCGCCTGCCTTAAACTGGAACTTCCCTCCGGCCTGAGCGTGGGGCTCTGGTGTGCTCGCAGGCATGTCGGTTGCCCAAAGGATTCGGATAGTTTTCTTGACTCCTGCTTTGCGTGAGGGACCCTCACCCCAAAGATTTGATGAGCCGTAGTGTTACCTTGTGAAGGACAAGAAACACATTGGGTACAGACGGCTTGTCCACTTCAGGTCCCTTTGCTTTCCCCGAAAAGGATTGGCCGAAAGGGAGGGAACTGAAGGCCCGAGGAAAGGATTTCTCAAAACCTTTCCGGGGAGTAGGGGCCGTATGTCTCTCCAGGGCAAAAACCTTCCGGAAGATGCGTTGTCTCTAGTCGATGAGTCAAGCGCCTCCCCAAATTCATCCACTTCGAAAGCCGGCGTTGAGGTCCAAATATCGAGCCAGTCAAGAAACATGCATCTTCAGCGTAGAGAAACCTCCTTTTTGGAAAAGGACCGTTTGTTGCCATCCTTCTGTTAAGTTGCACCGAACGGATTGCGGACCCCCCCACATTCAAGATCAAATTCAGTGGCCCCCCATCATCATACCCCGGTAGTGAAATCCAAGGGATGGCAACTGCCGTTCCTTGGAAAAGGTTTGGGGTGGGACCAGCCCCAACAAACCTTTGAAACCCGCGGCTCTAACAAACCCTACCTTCACAGCAAAACCTTTGAA